GTGTCGAATCGAGCGGTGTCGAATCGTACTGTGGTCAATAGACTATCACCCGTTTTGCGCGAGCGCTGCCGCTCGTCGCAAGTTTTGACTTTGTCGGTGTCGCCGGTACCGGCGGTTGGAATGCGAACGGCGGAATTCCACTTAAACGGGAAGTTCTCTTAGCAAGGTATTAGTTATTGTAAAAATGTGAACAAGGTTAACATTCGGAACTGATTTTTCATTCTGCTGACATCAGAACTTGATCAAAGAAGAGTTGTCAAAAAAAAGGAAAAAGGGGGAAAGGGCTAACTCTCTCTCTCTTTCTGCCGGTTGCTATTCACGACTAGAGTCGTGAACTGCCCTCCCGGCGAGGGTGGTCAAATGAGGAATTGATTGCGGAGAAGCAAAAGAGTATATTCTCGCGATGCTTTTAGGCGGTTATGCATCACTGGTAGGTTCCGAGTATTAACCTCGAGTTAGATCTTTAACTAGTGGAACTCCCGATTAAAATTTGTGGGTGGACTTACTACTTGCTGCTACTGGTGGTGCGATTTCCTTCACCCCTTCGGCCCGTACGGCTGGCTAGATGGTTCGGTGGACTCTCGGCACACTGGTTGCACTTGCACTTGTAACTTGTATGCGTCGCGATGTAACTTTGCTGCGGCACTCCCGGCAGAATCAGTAAGTTTTTCTGGATACGCGGCGCGATTTTTTCTGAGTTTCCTATTCCCAAAGCCCTGGCTTATATACCGTTGTAGTAAGCGAGGACTTTCCCAATCGGGAACTCAGTTGAGCTTTGCTGGTTCCTATTTGTTAATTAGTCGGTCGGGCGACTTCCGAGATCGCCAATCGGCGACGATCTCTTGCTTCGGTTGCCTCGTCCAATTTTTCGGGGAAGGAAAAAGGGAGAGTGTTGTCTTTTGCGATCACGCCGCATAGACCCCTTGTTGTTTGTTTGTAATAAAAATGCCGGAGTTTCTACTTGCGCCGGTCGCTCTAATTTTTATGACCGGCATTTTCATGACCCGGAGATATCTGGGTTTGCTTGAGAAGCTGCTCGAACAATTATCTAAAATTTCGTGTTATTGTTAAGAGCAGTTTATCTTTCCGGGCGCCGATATAGTTTTCGTTTGTTCTCCTATTGTCTGGAGTTTTAAGTTTCCAAACGATAGGAGACCCGTTTGAATTATTTCTTATTATTGACCAAAAAAAAGTTGCTATGCGCTGGCGCGTCGCGTCGCAGGAAAAAGGGGACCGTGGAGTCTCCAGGACGTAACAATAGTAAGATAGAATTTTGGAACGTAAACTCTCTCTCTTTTTCTCTCTCTCTCTCTTTATCTATCTCTCTTTGAGATGGTGAGTTGAGTGTAGACGTGTTCTGTGTCGCTCTCTGTTTGTGGACTCATCTCTGCCGCTTTTTGCCCTTCGGGGCCTTTTTTTTTCCAGTTACACTGGTTGCCTTGCTCTTTTCTGGCATATCTTCCTGGATTTTCTGTGAGTACTTTGCTTGGTTTGGCTGGTTTCTTCTCATCTTTTTGCGGTGGATATCTGTCAACGTAAACATTCGGACATTATCGGTTTCCTTGCGCTGTGTGCGCCTGTGTGGCTGCGTGCGTGTGATTGGAGGAGTCGAGCTGTGTGGTGGGCGTCATTTGATTGGTCGAATTTCCTGGAACGGATCGGCGGTTTCTCGGTAACTCGGATCGGGAAGGGATCCTACCTTGCCGACCATGGAGAGTGCGGACTATGAGAGTGGTTCTACTCCCGGATCGCGTAGGCTCACTAGGGTGACTAGTGGGTCTAATATTGTTTCTAATGCACGAATTAATGTTTCGAAAATTAATGCACTTAGAGTCTCGGTTGATAGAAATAGTGACGTTATTTCTAAGCTGTTACTGTCCAGCAAGGAGACTGTTGAAAAGAGATCCTTGATTGAGTCGGCTTTTAGGGCGTGCAGAGAGGCATTTATCGAGGTATCAACGGTGCTTGCTCATATTCTGGAGGAGAGGCCTGTGGACCACCCTACTCTGGATGATATTAGAGGTGTTGTCACGGAAGTGCTTGAGGATGGACTGGGTGCGGCATGTCGAGGGCGAGCGGGATTGGATCCATGCGGAGCCCGAGGGGTGTCTGACTCTCAGCCATCTTATGCTTCTGTTGCTGGCAGGAGCACGATTCGGGTTTCTGGTGGTCCTACAGTGAGTGTGCCACCTTCTACGTCTTTTCTTATTGTACCTAAGGAAGGTGTCAAAAAATATGAGTCCTCGCAGGCTACCAAAGAAGCGTTGAGCAAGGTATTTAAGCCTTCCGACTGTGCATTAAAAATCAATCGAGTGTCCTTTGCTAACAAAAATGGAGTGAAAATTGACGCACTGTCTCCAAACATTGACGCTATCAAGACACATCCAGGTCTAGCCAGGGCAGGATTGGAAGTTGTTGAGAGCACGAAAATGAATCCAAGGCTCATCATTCATAATGTACCCATTGACATGACATCTGACGAAATCTTGGACGAAATTGCTGCTCAAAACCTGGAAAACTTTGATAAGGCAGACTTGAAGGTGATCTATTTATTTCCTGCTAAGGCTGACAAACGCACTACGAGCTGTGTCCTGGAGGTTTCACCTATGATAAGAAACATGTTGTTAAATCGAGGTCGTATTTATCTGAGATACTCTGCCTGCAGATTTGCCGATTATGTGAGAGTCTTGCAGTGTTACAACTGCCTTGCGTTCGGACATTTAGCCAAGAATTGCGGATTGAAAACGACCTGTGGATATTGTGGAGGCGAACATCAGATGAGAGATTGTGATAGGAGGGTAACTCTAAAATGCGGCAACTGCTTGCGGAGTAAACAATTTTCGACTGGAGACCTGGGTCATGCAGCTACAGATGCAAAGAAGTGTCCAATTCTGAGCAGAAAAATTTCCAGCAGGATATCTAGCATCAACTATGGATAATAAACGGAATTCAGATTGCCTACGCATATGTCATGTCAACTGCCAGTCTCTAGTAGCTCACTTTGACGAGTTCAGCTTTTTCTTCCGCAAGTCTCAGTACCACGTGATCTGCATGTCTGAAACTTGGCTCAAACCGGAGATCTCGGATAACTTCATCAATCTTCGGAATTATACTGTGTATAGATGTGATAGAGTGGGTAAGGGCGGTGGCGGTGTCGGCTTCTATCTTCATAATAACCTCAGGGCAAAAATCTTAAAAACTTCAGAAGAGTTTTATTGTCGCAAACCTGAATACATTATTGCTGAGATATCATCGTCGGACACTGCAAGTTTACTTCTTGCGGTAGTTTATAGACCTCCTAATTGCGGCTTCTTACATGAATTTGAGAATGCATTTCTTGACTTTCAGGCTAACTATAGACATACAATTATATTTGGAGATTTTAATGCTGATTTACTAGCCATGTCCTATGACAGTACTCAGTTGCTCACGTTCATCGAGTCAGCCGGTCTTTACATGGTGCCTTATCTGGCTACGCACAACCTAGCACATTCAAGTACCCTGCTGGATCTATGCATTGTTGATGACTCCGATAAGCTTATTGAACATGGTCAGCATGCTGTGCCTTTTCTGTCAGCGCATGACTTGATTTTTGTTCATTATAACATACACACTGAGCGCATACAAGAGCGGACGATTGTATATAGAAATTTCAAAGACTTCAATGAGACGGCATTTGTCCGTGATCTGCAGGGGGTGGACTGGAGCAGCTTGGTGGCCTCTACCTCACTTGATGAGAAAATAACCATTCTCAATCAGAAGGTGCTTCACCTCATAGATAAGCATGCACCTATCAGAAGTGGTACATTCAGGAGTCTCCCTGCACCTTGGCTGACCGATGAGATTAGGAGGGAAATGAGAAATAGGAACAGAGCTCGTAGAAGATGGCGCAGGGATCGTAGAGTGGACTCATATAATGTTTTTAGTAGACTACGAAACAGAGTGCAAAATATGGTACGTACTGCGAAGAATGAGTATTATATTGCGTTGTTCTCTAACACCAAGGATTCTGGCACTGTCTGGGGTGAGCTGCGCCGATTGGGGTTGATCAAGTCGAAGCATACGAATAAGCGACTCTCCAATACCATTGAGGAGCTGAATGGTTACTTTGTGCGGGTGGCTGGCAACGTAGTGCAGCCTCTCGATGGAGTGGATTCTTTGAGGGAGGTTTTTGATGACGGTAAACTTCATTGGAAGTATGTTGGCCCGCAAGACATTCGTCGTGTTTTTTCCAGGATTAAATCAAATGCCACTGGCTTGGATGGTATATCCATTAAAATTATTGCTCTCGTCTTGCCCTACATCATGCCGTTCATTGAGGATATCTTTAACCATTCTCTGTCTCACGGTATCTTTCCTGACTGTTGGAAAACATCGGTAGTATGTCCTATACCAAAGACTAAGAATCCTTCTTCGCCTCAGGATTACAGACCAATTGCGATTCTACCAACAATGTCAAAGGCTCTTGAGAGAATTGTATGTGAGCAAATTCAAACCTATTTAGAAGCTAATGATCTTGGAGATCCATGTCAATTTGCCTACAAGAAGGGACATTCTACTCAGACTAGCATTATCAGGGTTCTGGATGATGTAAGATGGGCAGCTGATAAAAGGCTGATTACAATCTCTGTACTCTTCGATTTATCCAAAGCTTTCGACCGAGTACAATGTTCTATATTAATTGACAAACTTGTTGACTGTAATTTTTCTGGCCTAGCAATTCACTGGATTAAGTCTTATTTGACTAATAGGAAGCAAGTGGTTCGTGATCCTACTGACTCTAGTGTGTCTTCTTCGGCTGACATTGGTGCTGGTGTGCCGCAGGGCTCAGTTCTGGGACCTTTACTATTTGCTCTGTATCTTAAGGATTTCAGTAACGCGCTGACATACTGCAAATATAATTTCTATGCAGACGACTTATTACTATATCTACATTGTGAGCCCCATGAGCTGCTGAATGGTATCACTAGAGTTAATTCTGACATACAAAATATTGTCTC